AAACAAATTGGGTACCCGTCGTTCCTGTTTAAGCGGGTAGGCGACAACCCTAGTCAACAGTTGGTCGGATCTAACAGTCTGGCTGATGGCGTGGACACACCGGATCCCATCCGAACTCCGAAGTTAAGCACGCGGGGCCCCGTGTAAAAGCGGGGTGGGTACTCCCTCTTTTTCACATTCTTTGAAAAATAATTTGGATCTCATTGTTTTATTTAAAATTCAGACTGTCAATAGTCAACGTTCAAATGAACATTTTCGCAACCTATTTCGACGTCATTTTTGTGTCTTGGGTTGTCAACCCTTTCCACTGGCATCAAAATCTTGTCCACTGGGGCTGCACTGCTTTTGTGACTCCCTTGTCTTCTATGCTTGTAAAGTATAGTAAAGTATTGTGTGCGAAGCGAAATATCCGACTATGAATCGTTCCACGGTGAGGGCGGTGAGTCCGGTGACAGCAAGGGGGGGGGGGGGGGGTCCTTGAGGATGCCCACACCCGAATTAGCTGCATGTCCATTAGAAACGAGGCGATTCCAAGGAACTTGCAGCGCGCCCTCTGGAGCGCGCCGCAGTTTGAATATCCCGCCTCGGCCGGCTCGCCGCCCGTGGAGCGAGGGGTAGGCAGACCCGCGACACGCCCGGGCGCCAGGGGTTGCCTGCGCCGCACGGATGCACCCCTTTGCACCTCCATGACGGACACCTAGAGGTTTTAGAACGTGATTTCCCAGTAAAAAAAAAAAACAAAAAAAAAAGAAAAACATGGGGCGCATGGGATTCCATGACCACAATATGTAAAATCGCGATTTACCTCGTAAATTGTCTCTTTTACCATGTGAGATATTTCCCCATGGATGGGAGTAAAATTTTACATGGTAAAGTATTTTATGGGAAGGCCGGGGAAGGCACTTTTCAATGGTGTTTTCTTCAAGTGAAGAAATTCCCATGGGATCTATTTCCCTATGCTTAATTTTCTCATGGTGAACATGCTGTACCTCGGTGAGTGAACAATCAGAACGATTGGCATAAACACCATGAGCAGTTCAATATGTTGTAAAACCTATAATTAGGAATTTTCCTATAAAACCGCGACTGAGTGTGAGTCTGTGTATGTGTGCGTGCGTGGTGGGTGGGTGTGAATGTGTTTGTGTTATTTGTTTCGTACTTGTCTTATTATGAAAAAAGT